GGGGGATGAGATAAAAACTTATTCCAACCATGAGACACTTCTACATACAATCTGTGTCCCAACATACGTGTGAGAGGGGTGATGGGCAGACTGGGACTGTCTCTGAAGACTTGTCGCGTAGGTCACATGGGTCGCGCTCCGGGAGCCTTTATTCCCAGGCACACTGGTTTTGCTTTGGACCGACACCGTCTTCCGGGTGTTGGGTCTCTTTCCCACCATCCAGCGTCTTGAGGAAACATCTCCCTGCCGATGCTCCTGGTTGGAAAGAGCCATGTGGAGCTCCAGTCCTCTGACTGGTCACCTCTGGCCATCCAACCCTCACCACCTACCAGCCGTCCGGTTCTCATGAGTACCTGAGGCCTTGGCTTGACCATGAGCCTGGACGTTGGCCTACCACCAGGTGGCAGGAATGTTCTAGAAACGAGGACAGTCCTGCAGCTCACTTTCCACTGACGTGCCTTCACCCATGGCCACCTTGTGTGTGTTAGGACATTACACTCATTTCCTATGGGCTGCAACCTGAACACATGGTACATGACTGCATGCCCTCACCCCATGTCCACCCATAACCTTACCCCGCCTGCACCCTATACACAGCAGAGCCGTGCGTACAGCAGGAACATGGAAAGCTTTTAGGTTTGGTACATTTGCCACCCTCCCCTGAACAACCCCCTCCACAGATGCATACTTCCCTTTAATGGCCGCGTCCTCCAGAGTTTGTTTACATCCAGCACTTCGAGTCTTCACAGTCCTTAGTGCCCCATGGACTTCTATAGATCTGTGTCCTGAGGCTGGATACCATCGGCCTCGGGATACAGCTCCATAGACCTGGGCCGGAATGGGCAGACACAACCAGGACGGTGAGGACATGCGGTGTTGGATCTAAGCCGCGTCCTCCAGTTTGTTTACATCCAGGACTTCGAGTCTTCGCTGTCCTTGGTGCCCCATAGACTTCTATAGATCGGTGTTCGGAGGCTGGATACCATCGGCCTCGGGATACAGCTCCATAGACCTGGGCCGGAATGGGCAGACACAACCAGGACGGTGAGGACATGCGGTGTTGGATCTAAGCCGCGTCCTCCAGTTTGTTTACATCCAGGACTTCGAGTCTTCGCTGTCCTTGGTGCCCCATAGACTTCTATAGATCGGTGTTCGGAGGCTGGATACCATCGGCCTCGGGATTCGGCTCCATAGACCTGGACAGACGCAACAAGGCCGGTGAGGACATGCCATGCCGGATGTAAAACACACGCCAGAGGAGGCGGCCATTAGATTGAGGGACGTGTGCCTCTGGAGGGGTAGGGGAGGTTAGGAGGCTTCACCAGCGCCGATTTCCCCCTAAGCTCCAGTTTTGGGTTGGTGACCACAGATCATGGTGGGAACTCCAACCGTCACTTGATAGGACCCTGCCGGCAAGTTCTGGGAACGCTCCGGCATATGGTGTGAGTAGTGCCGGCTCTCCCATGGGTGCCGGAGGGATTCCTGCAGAAGGATGACACGGAGGAAGCACACGCCAAGCACACGTCATTGTAAACAGGCTTTTATTTGGTGTCACACGCTCCGTGGAATATATCCTCCCAGCCGGTGACGTGTACCGGTCACCAATCCATGACCGCATCCACCCCGCGCAGAGAGACAGTTCATATACGGCAGAGGCGGTGACTTGTGGTAATACATTCTGGAATCTCAGTCCCCGGGTAGGGGGGTTTCAGGGGTCAGTAGAGTCACATGATCAGCGGGCCGCTGGTACCATCACAACAGGAGGAGAGGCCACAATGTAGACTGCCCATCAACGTTCATTCCTAGTCCATAGACGTGACCACCCAATCCCAAACCCTGGAGAACGGGCAATTCCTGGCCTCCCACCCCTTACACCTGGAGGGTAGCTGGGGCAAATCCTGGCCTCCCTTCATCTCATACAATCCCACCCCTTACACCTGGAGGGTAGCTGGGGCAATTCCTGGCCTCCCTTCATCTCATACAATCCCACCCCTTACACCTGGAGGGTGATTTGAGTTGTGGTGGAGTCATCGTTCCCATACCTTCTGCTCACACTGGCCCGTCCTGCTACCACACCCTCCCCCACCCATGGGCCTGGTATAGATGAAGGCTACGTTGTCCAG